TTTTTTTTTTAATCAAAAGACTTAAATGCTTAAAATTAGATTTTTCGACAAATATATTTGTGATGTTTTGTTATAAACCATATATTTATTTAAGTGTTTACTTCATGATTGAAGGAAGTGCATATCATGCATGAATTTAATAACATTTTTATCACCAAATAGTATACTATCATATTGATATTTCATCATTCTGATGACTTTTTTTTTTAGTTTTATTCTATAATGTGTCCAAACTCTTGTTTGCAAATGTATGGTATGCATCACTGCCAGTATGAGCTTAGAGATCAGCATCTTTAATGAAATGCTTGCAGAACTCAAAGTTCAATAGAATACAGTAGAAATGCAATACGTTTTGGACATGCTTGTTGTTGTTTTTACAATGGAAATTGGTTATATTTGGAGTACAATGCCAATACCATAGAATATGATATGATTACTATCATGTATTTGATTTTTGAAGGACTATGCATGAAATAATACCATGCCTGTATGTTTAATTAAACCTGCTCGAAGAACTTGATTCGTACAGCGCTAATGCAGATCATGTGAAAGTCCAAACTTGCCAGATCAGCTGCTTGTGGATTCCTTCAAGTGTTTGGACAAGGTTTGTTGTTTTAGTGGCAAGCCGTGAGAATGAGAGCTGATGTTTGATGTGAGGAATGTTTCCTCCTGCTTAATTTTTTGCGTGATATATCAGGAAGATAAACACACAGCTACGAGCGCCACCCTTGAATGCATTCTTTCATAACTTTCATAATTGTTCATCATGTCAGTCGTCTGTTTATTAAATCACCAGTGATGTTGCCATGGCGACCATCAAAAAATCCTGTGACTCGTATGGCTGAGGTGAAAGTGTCATTGTTACAATGTAACATTCCATTTCCTGCCATCCACAAGAGAGCTGCAGGATCAAACCTAGTATTATAAACAAATATCCACCTTATTAGTCAAGCGCTGGCGGATGACACCATAGAGGGTTTTAATAAACAGCCTTATTGGGCTGAATCTGTAATGGTGTATTAAGGACCGTCCATCATGTGAGTTTGTGGATGAATGTGTGGAATGCATTTAACAGGCCTGAGAACATGGAGCTCAAGTATGTTCAGAATGAAGGTGTCACCCGCCGCTTCATATACAAACAATCGAATCAAACCTCTGAAATATCTCCGGAGCTTGTCATTCTGCTGAGGGTTTTCATTATGCAACAGCACACATTTCATTCGCTGTTGTGCAGGTGGTGGTTTACAGTGGCGTAGTGCAATACTGAAATCCAATAACTGCAATAGTGTAACATCAGTAAGTTTCTCCTGTCCTTTTGAGATTTTAAGCATAAATTTGGTGCATATGCTTACAAGAGGTACCATAATACCACTATGTTTTTCTGCACTTGCTTCCGTGCCAATACCATGTTTTTTTAGACAAACAAACAAGCGTACAGGGCTGCACGATTAATCGAATGCGATTGTCATGCGCAATTTGTTAGTAAAGCCGGTTCTGTAATCAGCAGGAAATCATCATCACGTGCTTTCAGATGGAGCAGAATTTACTACATAGAGCCGTAGTTCACTGACAAGTTACGCAAAAAAAATCGCAGACGATTTTATTGCGCGATTCTGAAATCGTTGGCGATAATGACAGCTGTTTGCATAGCTTCTCAGTGAACTACGGCTCTGCGTAGTAAATGCTGCTCCATCTGAAAGCATGTGAAAATACCACATTTAATAACATATTTTTACTCCAAACTCAAACGTCAGTCGAGTGTTTGAAATAAATCCTTCTGTGAGATGACGTGGCTTCTTACACAGAATAAGGCACGCAACATATTTCATAGTATTTAAGCAGTGATAAAGGCATTGCATTATAAATATACTTTATTTGAATGAAAATTATAATAATAAGAACTCAGAAAAACCGTATATTGCCGTATTCGTGTGTTTATTAGTCACGTTGAATCAATGAAAGCAGCTGAATCGTCTGTTTATTCAGCTGCAGCGATAGCCATTTTCTGGGTTTCTTCTGCGAGGCGTATTTGGAGTTTCTCTGGCCTTCGGACGGCGATTTACTGCTGATCACAGAACCGTGCTTCACTGAAAGATACGCATGAAAATCACAGCTTCTGTCGAATCGCGATCTCGATTCCGTTTCGATTTATCGTGCAGCCCTACAAGCATATATAAAGTGCACGCTAATACCATGCTTTTTCTTTCTTTTTACCATAGTAATTGGTTATATATTTAAAGTATAATGTCAATACCATGGTATATGATATGATTAGCATCATTTAGTTGACGTTTATTTCAAAGTACCATAAAATAATACCATCACTAATAATATCAGTGTTATTTTAGAATCATTGATATATAATTATAATTTTTTTTAATAAGTAGGGTTGCAACGGTGCGTAACATTCCAGAAACTTTCCAGGATGTTTTGGAAGTTTTCTGAAACTTTTGGAAAGTTTCCGAAAATGTACCAGAATGAAATGAAAATAAAAATAGAAAACAAATCTAAATATTAATAAAAACAATTCTTTTTTTTATTTAGTTTCGATTGCGTGCGCTCATTTTACTTTCACTTTCACTTTCGAGATTCGCGATCACAAGGACTCTATACTATGGCGCGGCAGTACTTACCACACATTTGACAAGATTAGATGTTTGTCAGTGGTGCTCAGGATCTGCAAATCATTCGCCATCGTCCTATCAGACATTTCTCCTTACTCTGTGTAAGTGGCAAGTGAACTTTCATGTACTGTAAATACAACAGGCTACCGCTAGCAAGCAGCTAACCTTTTAGTGGCTCTGTAGAACGCACCCCGCCCCCCAATGCCAATTTGGTAGACATTGCCCAACCCTAATATATATGTCTATGTATGTTTCTATAGGAGTATGATTACTGTGACTCGGTGTGTTTGCAGTGTTTATGTAGTGTATTTGCTGAATGCGGTGTAATTACACGGCTGTCTTTGCATGCACTGCAGTGAGAACGCTAGGAGCCCGGGGCCACAGATCTGCTGTGTGTTCAGTGGCGTTCAGACACTGCTGTAGATGTTTTTTAGTGAAGGGCGTCACCTGTCCATTAACTGATCGGCAACACTTACTGCTGGATCCGTGTCAATATTCACAATTCTGCTCCTCTTACTGCAGCCACATCAGTTTTCCCATCTGACTGTTTTGACATTTTGAAGTAGAAAGACTGAAATAGTATTTTCTTGTAATAATTTTAGTTTCATTTGCAATAAAAATAATGCACAGTAGTACCTTAATATGCACTGTAAAAACTTATTCTTTGAACATTTTTCCAGTTAAAAAAAACCTACAAATCCTTGAACTAGGATAAATAAGTCAGAATTTCTATATATCTGACCAGTTTTAATATCTTGTGCAGCATTACCTCTTCAGTAAATTTGTCTTTTTTTAAAGGATTTTTTAAAATATGCTTTAACTTAAAACTAGTAAAACAAGACTAATTTAAATCTTAAAAGCAGGTTTTTTTTCTTTCTTTTTTTGCACAGGTACCATGGTAATATTATGTTTTTTTTGTTTGTTTTGTTTTTTACAAATACATCTGCATGAGATTTTAGGCACAAAATTGTTGTATACAGCAGGATCGTTATTGTTAACTAAAACCATAAAAATGCCATATTTGAAATTATATTAAATGAAATATAAAAATATATATTTTTTATTATTGTTAATAATAATAATGATAAATGTATTAATCTTTATATATTTACTTTTATCGGACCTCTCTGAATGAAAAATACAAAATAATTGTTAATGCATTTTATTAATATTTATGTATTTAATTTTTATCACACAAAAACTCACATTTTACTCATTTTAATCATAATTTCACTGTGGTACAGTAACTAAGAGATGGATTTTGGAGTGTGTATCATTGTAAGAATAAGCACTAAATAGATCTAATAATGTCTCGTTTAGAGTCAAAGTGTGAAACCTCATCAGTAATGTGTGTGTTTAAGGTCGAACACATTTAGTGCAGTGGTATTCTCTGTTCATTGTTTGTGTCAGTGAGTTGCCTTTGGCTGTTCTGCATGTGATAATGGTTTAGATCTTGTCTGTACCGCGGTAACGGCCACACCTCGTTTGACAGCAGGCCTCTTCAGCTGCATGCGTGTTGGTTTTGAGTTGTCAGTCGTCTGTCAGAGCCTCGTTGTTTCTCTCTCTTGCATGTCATTACG